AAAATCGGACAAAAGGATTTGAATTTTTTATACTACGATTTCAACCATAACTAACTGTTTAAAAGTTATTGTACGAACTTTTTTTTCGAATCTCATTCTCCAGAAACTAATCGTTAGCCAATGTTAAAAAAAGGTTGGACCAAAACTAATGAGTTTCGTATATCTAGCCGTGCTGATTGCATTTGGCACTATTGTTGTTTGTGTCTTGCTACTGATGTTGCTTTGTGATGTAGTCTTGTTGGATTAGTGTTTGGTTTAGGTTGCTTTGACTTGTGTACTAGAGGAGCTAGTAAGATCAATTGTGTTCTAGTTTGGTCTTAATGGTTTTATCGAGCTTTGTACTAGCCGACTCCAAGAGGGACTTGGTAGGGTAAGCTGCAGCTGAACACTTGAGTTGGTTTGTGAGGTTTCATTGTTGGGTTAGCTCATGCCAGTGTCTTTCAAGTTGATCTCACGTGATGCAAGAGGAGTTTCGTGATCGAGAGCTAAGAGGATTATTCCGTTGACCACTCAACCTTGGGCTTCCAATGAAAGGCTTCTAGTGACGCGGGTTTTAGTATCACCGGTCTTGCGATTAGCATCCGCAGCTTCATCTCACTCAAACTGATTTTCGAAGAACAAATACAACGTCATCATTTCGTCTTACTCCATTAGCACTCATGCTTATGTTGAACGGAAGGACTGAAAACAATAGCGTAATATGCTTCCATGTTTTTACTTTTTTTTTTCATTGGACTATTTCAAAGGTTCATAAACTTGTTTTGTAAACCTAAAACGTTTTCATTCTTAATGAAATATTTACCATTTAGCAAAAAAAAAAACTAAAGAGTTTGCGTATTCGAGTGATTGGTGAACAATCTTCGCTTTATGAAAAACATCTCCACGACAAAACATTTTACAGTAAGTGACAAGAATATTGGGCTCTCTCACAAATTCGTGACAAGAATATAGGCTTTTTCAAAAATGTCCAAAATTTTATTTGTATTTCGGTCTTAACTCATCTTGCTTAAAAGTTAAAACATGAAATGAATAAATCCTTCCTAGTGGGAGATATTAACACAAATAATCGAAACTAATAGCGGTCAGGGTCTATCGAAAAAGCCCAATGGGCCTTAGAAAGCTTACTAAAACCATAAGAAAATCTAGATTACTCCTGGTCTCTCTCTCTAAAAAACGTAAGCTTTCGAAATTACGAAGAAGCTCAGAGTGGTAGAGAAATGGCGAAGCGCTTGATTCCGACTCTCAATCTTGTTTTGGTCGAAAAGATTCTTCCTCCTTCGAAAACTACCTCCGGCATTCTCTTACCGGAGAAATCTACTCAAGTATCGACATAAAGGCTCCCTTTTTCGTGTCTGGTCTTTTCGATCAAAAGACAAGCTTTTGATTCATTGGAATCTTATTTGATCGCAGCTGAATATTG